GAAGTCCTCCAGGCTTAAAGTGGCCAAGGTTGGAGACCCCTGTTCTAGAAGGCACAAGGTTGGGGGAATTGATCAGAGTTTGAATGGGAGAGGTGGGATAGGGGGAAAAAAAAAGATTTCCTTCTCACCCACTCAGAACAAGCAACAGATGGGAAGCTCACCGGGAAAAACTTGGATGGGTTCGATTTGGAGAATGGGATGTGCCCACCCTCTTCAAAAACCTGAAAAGGTACCAATAAAGGAGAATATTGGCTCAGAGTTGACATGAAGGGGGTCCTTGGAGCTCTCTGAGCTTGGTGGTTTTCTTGCAGATGTTTCATGACCCAACTAGGGAACATTATCAGTGCCAGAATGGAGTGGGGTTTGTGGAGTGGAGAATGAGGAGAATTGTGGGGTCCTTGGAGCTCTCTGAACTTGGTGGTTTTCTTGCAGATGTTTCATGACCCAACTAGGGAACATCATCAGTGCTAGAAGGAACTGGGGTTTGCACTTACGGAGGCTCGGAGAGGGCAAAAAACAGGCCTCCCGGAAGTTTGGCAAGCCTGGAAATGGGCCAATTTCCAGCTTCCAGACAGCCTCCGGAGTCTGGGAAGGGCAAAAACACCACCATGGTGCAGGAGGCCGACTAGGCCACGCCCACCATGGGCATGCCCACCCAACCACTGGGCAGAGAACCCCTTGCTAACATTTTTGAAGCCCCCCTCCCCGTGCTTCGCCCATCTGTCTCCTTGGCCAAGGCAGTTTTGGGTTTCCGCAGAGGGCCGACCCGTCGAAGCTGTGCCCCTCCCATCCCTCACTGGGAGAACGGTGCCAGGTCCTCCTATGCCACCGTCCCTCCTCGCCCCAGATGAAGCAACTGTCTATTCATAGACAGGCCTCAGGGTGTGACACTCGGCAGAAACATGATGTGGTGTCAGTGCCCGGTTACATTTCCAGTCGGGGTGGCCAAAGGGCAGGCCAAGACAGCCAGGCGCCAGAAGCAAAGCATGCCCCAAATCCCCTCTGTTGCCTGGGGAAGGATCTCGAGTCCCCCACTCCCCTAGGTCGGAGCCCTGCAGCTCACCTACTACAACCTCTGCCCCCAGGATCCAGTAGAGCACCAGGGAGGAGCTTATG